CTTTTATGGCAAATAATCTTTTAAACCTAGGTATAATTGGCAAATACCATAACACCTTAGCGAGGGGACCATCTACTTCTTCCTCACCACTACTTTCCTCAACTTTGTTTTTGAACCTCGACAAACCACATGTCGGACACATCTTTAATTTAGCAAAATCATTTACGTACAATATACAATCATTAGGACATGCATGTATTTTCTTGTACTCTAAACCCATTGGACATAATATCTTCTTTGCCTCATAGTTACGAATAGGTAATGTATTATCTTCAGGAAGCATCTCCTTCAACAACTCCAATAATTCGGTGAAACTTTTATCGGTCCATCCATTTCTTGCTTTTAAAGTAAACAATTTTAAAGTTGCTTGATAATCTTGTAAAACTACATCCTATGTACAATTGTTGCGCAAAATCAGATTTCAAAGAATCATATAGATGTGCTTTCATAAAATTTTCTTCACCAATATCACATATCATATCCTCTAGATTATCATCCATCCCTTCATCAAAATTGTCCGTAGTTGACACGGTTGGGATGTCTAATATTTCTCCATGCCATGTCCATATTGTATAACTCTCAATAATACCATAAACAAACAAGTGATCACGTATATCCTCAAGTTTATGACGAATTTGATTCAAACAACGAACACATGGACAATAATATGTCCCTTTCATAGCTTTTCCATTTTCACTAGCAAATTTCAAAAATTCCTCAACTCCCTTTTCGTACTCTTCACTAATACTGACGTGCATTCATCCAACTTCGATTCATATTATGTTATAAAGTTTCGTCACTCCTAGAGATTTAAAAATTATATGTAAAAAAAAATAATATACAAACAACAAAGCACGTTCCAACAACAATGGAGTGTGTAAGCCAGAATGCACTCAAACAAATAAACAAATAATTACATTCCAATAACAATCCAGTGGAGACATTCATACTATAACGTGATTGAGATCCCCAAAAACAATCACGGATTCAATGTAAACATATAGCAATGACATAGAACACTAACCTCGAGTGTAGACGAAAACTGATTTCAAACTCGAATCCAATCGGGGAGAAAGATCAAGTTCGTCAAATGACACGATAATGTAGATGTTTTTCACTGTAAAATTGCTCGAAAATGGTGTGCAGAGGTAGCTGTTGTCGTCGTTCTCGTCGTCGTTCTCAAAAACCCTGGTTGCGCGAGACGAGAAAGTGGGTCTGGAGGGAAATAAAATAGACTTTTTACGTCGCGCATCCCAGCACGCGACGTAAAAAGACATCTTTTACGTCGCACCTAGAGGGCGCGACGTAAAAGTCCATCTTTTACGTCGCGCCACCCAGGTGCGACGTAAAAGAGGCTTTTTACGTCGCATATTGGGATGTGCGACATAAAATTTTTGTCTCATATTTACAAAATTGCCACCGCATTTTATTTACGTCGAATATACATGCATGCGACGACAATTGGGTGACGTAAAAGCCCTATTCTGCACTAGTGACACTACCCAATCGTAATTATGAGGCGAAAAATATACTTTGTCCAATGGGTATGGAGTATAAAAAGATACATGCATACCCTAATGATTGTATTTTATATGGAAATGAGTTCGAATAACTAAAAGTGTCCAATTTGTAGGTTATCTTGTTACAAAATGAAGGATAATAATCAAGATAGTAATGATGACATTACTGTTGAGGGACCTTTGTCAAGTCCATTTGATATCTTTCAATAATTCCAAAGTTTAAGCGTTTATTTGTGAATCATAATGACACAAAATCTTAGATGACATGCAGATGGAAGGACATGTGATGGATTGATTCGTCATCCAATTGACTTTATGATATGGAAGGACTTTGATAATGAGTTTCCCAAATTTGGTGTTGAGTCAATAAATCTTAGACTTGAATTAACTACTGATAGAATGAATCTATTTAGTTATCTAAGTACTAATCATAGTTCATGAACTGTTTTGCTATTTATTTACAACTTATGTCCAAGCTTTTGTATAAAGCATAAATGATGTTGTCTATAATGATTATACTTATAAAATTTTATTTAAACACTACTACAAATAAAGCTTTCAACGTCGGTTCAACAACTGACGTTGTATCAGGCGACGTTGAAAGTCGTAACTTTCAACGTCGGTTCTAATAAACCGACGTTGAAAGTATGATTTTTTAAATTAATAATTTTTATTTATTTACAACCCCTTTACCCCCTTTTATTTATCTAGAAGTCTCCCTCTCTTTATATTATATTTTTATTAGGTCCTCCATCTCTATATATTATATCTTTTAGAAGTTTTTAAATTTTTTAAGAGAATTGTCATTGGCGGGATTCGAACCCGAGTACTTTAGAGTTGGAGGCTGATACTCCAACCACTAAACTACTTGAATTTTCTCATAATAACTTACAAATAAATTATATTTATATACAAATAAATATATATCCGTGTAAATATATAAATACAAATATATTTATATATTTGATATATTTATATAGTTATATATTTATATGTTGGATGTGAGGGCACACTCGAAAGTGAAAGTGTGTGTCGAGTGGGTTTTCAAAATTTGATGCTAAATTTGTGAGCAGGTATCTTTATATGAGTTTGTAATTTAATGACAAAATATAATCTTTATAATTTTATTTATATAATGATATAAAATAAATTTGGGAAACGCGTTATTTGCTCTCAAGCGAAAAATACCAATTTTCGCTCAAGCGAGACTTGAGTGAGTGAATTTCCGTGAGCTTTAACATATTTTCACTCAAGCAAGAGTCAATAACACTTTCACCCTCGATCGAAAAATACCAATATAATTTATCTATAAGTTATTATCAAAAAATTATAGTAGTTTAGTGGTTGGGATATTAACTTTCAATCCTAAAATACTCGAGTTCAAATGCTTATCGGTGACAATTCATTAACTTAAGAGAATTTTTGGCTGAAAAAAAAATAAAAATACTTTCTAGAAAATATATACAAATAAATATATATTTACATGGATATATATTTATTTGTATATAAATATAATTTATTTGTAAGTTATTATCAAAAAATTCTAGTAGTTTAGTGGTTGGAGTATCGACTTCTAACTCTAAAATACTGGGTTCAAATCTTACTGATAACAATTTTCAAATTTAAGTGAGTTTTTGGCTGAAAAAAATAAAAAAAAAAGACTTTCCACGTCGGTTGTTCCCTGAACCGACGTGAAAAGTGTCAATAAGTAAAAAAAAAAACACTTTCAACGTCGGTTCATATGGGAACCGACGTAGAAGTACTTTCTACGTCGGTTGACTAAGAACCGACGTAGAATGTGTTTAATATTCAATTTCAACGTCGCTTCATCTGGGAACCGACGTGGAAAGTACTTTCTACGTCGTCTCAGCTATAACCGACGTTAAATGACGACGTAGAAAGTATATTTTGTAATAGTGAAAATTTTGTAGTTTTTTATGGACACATCTCCTATAGATATAGATGCCATAAAGTATATTAGACACACATGAACAACATACTTCATTAACTTGATTAATACTAGGATAAGTTTTTGTTCAAATAACATTATGTATATGATCATGACTTTATGATTGAACAATAGGATAGTTGACTAATTATTCTTGTATATTTAGAATAGTTAGCTAATTATTCTTGCAAATGTTTATAATGATTTTGTAAGATTTTAGCAAAACTAATATTATATAATAACTATTATATATATTTAAGATTATTTATGAATTATAAATATATTTAAAATATATGTTATATTGTACTAGGCTGATTGAATATGCAAGTAGTGGGATAGAGTTATAAAACAAATTGTTTATTTAAAAAAAAACTACAACGACAATTAATATCATAATCGTCATTATAAATATGTTTAACACAATAATTCAATGACGGTTATGATCATAACTGTCATTATATATCATATACAACGATAAATATTTATAAATAATCATCATCGCATCTCGACATACAACGATGATTCTTTACCAGTCATTATATCTCTTACATAAAATGACACCATCATTGAAGGATATGCAACCAATATGGTAGGTCAAACCATGACATAAACGATCGAATTTAATTTAAGTCACAAATTTTATAACCTAATCTAATATATTTATCGAACCGTAGCATTTAAACCTATCTTAATACTTAATGGTAAGATAATGTTCCCGTACTTACATATAATAACCCTGATTAGATATAACCCTGAATAAAGAAAGAAGGGTGGAAGGTAGTGAGAAATAAAGCATACACGAAATTATAAGCTTGTAATATATAAATAAAAGCATGTTTTGTTTTGTCCGAAGATAGAATAGTCTAAGTAGGACCATTGTATTGTCCTGTTCCATAACCATTTTTATGGCTCTCACAAAGTTGCAGAACTAATATGCATGCCATTCTTGACTCTTTGGGGGACCAATGCAGACAAACACACAAAAAATGCGAATCAATGGGAGTGAGATCCTCTCAACTTGTTAATATCTTCTGAGGCTTAGGACTACAATTTTCCATTGCTCTTGCTCTTCATACTTAACTCTAGTTATTATTATTATTAGGTTTTATCACTTATATATTTAACAATTTCTGCATTTTAATCCATATAAAAAAAATCAGTTTTTAAACACTTATTTTCGCTTTATTAGGTCTAATTTTTTATATTTATTATTTTGTAGAAAAAAAAAGGTGATACACGTGGAATGAAAGTAACCAAAAGAGAAAATTATGAAGTTAGATATGCACCATTCATGAAGTATATCCTATAGATACGAATAGGTGCCACTGTATCCAAGAGGATCGATCCAAAACATCCCTTTCCCCCTCTTTCACGAATCCTCCAGGATCATTCCCTTTATAGTGTCTATATAAATTTGAATAGTTTTGGTCCAACCATGTACCATTTTAAAGGGGCTTCTGAGTTACTTCTTACTAGTTCTTCATTACATAGTTTTATTTGTGAGTGACTAAGAGTTAAGTGGTGAGGAGAAAATGTCTGCCATGGTTGAGGTGTGGAAGGGGGAGCTGACAAAGCTGAGGGAGAAAGTTTTGGCCCGTAAGAGCTTCTTTCGCAAAGGCAAAGAGGGAGCAGGAGATGAACATGCAGTTGAAAAGGAGGTTCTTCAGAAAGATATCATGGCTGTTCAGAGAGACACTACTATCTCAGAAGCAACAGTGTGTTTGCTTTTGGATAGATTTGTGCCATGCTGATGTTTTCTGTTTTGTGCTCAGAACGTGTTGTTTCTTTGTTCATCTTGTATTTAGATCATAAATGTCGGAAGTTTGTAATGGAAATGCTTTGTAAAATGCTGCAGTCGTGGAAATGAAGAACTGGTTACGTGATTTATTGTCTTTCATTTTAATTTACACAAACTAATAACTTTCTATAACAAAAGTTATCATTCAGGTGGGAATTTAATTGTAAGTTATGTGTTTTAATGAAGTTATCTTAGTGGTATCAAAATTAATCTAGCATCTTGGAGAAAAAAATGTGCTGCTTATAAAATTAACTTTATATTTATGGGTTAATGATCCTGAATTTTTCATGAGACCAACAAAGTTTTATTAACGTATAGTGTGGTCCCTTTTTAATCAATTTCCAAATTAATTGATATATTATTTATTAATATTAACTTGAATCTTCAAAAATTGTTAGGAATTTTAAAACAAGTTGTATTTTAAACATTCACGTAAGAAGATTTTGATATTATTTGTTATAAGTGAATTCTTATGTCAACAAACTTTTCAAAGATTATAAAAGTATTTTTTCTGATGTGTGTGTCAATGAATGAAATTTCATTTTTAAATATGAAGTTTCTGTTTCTCGATTATTTAATTTATAGAAAATATTATTAGTTTTGGGGATTTGTTTTATAATATAAGATAATATTTTTATGCAGACAAAAGGACCAAATTGGCATGTGGGAAAGCATAAACAAAATCTTTCCTACTACTGTGGATATTTTTTGCAAACAAGTGAACATCGTTTTCTTCTCATCATCTCAAAAAAAATAGAAGACAAAAATCTTCAATTGATATATTACAGATGACAAAATGGCCAACCCTTTTCCCTGTTCTTTCCCTTTATGTGTCGTGGTGTACAAGTACATCTATACATAGAATTTTCCAAGACTAAACCCATGTGAAGAAGATCATAATCCAATCATTTGGGTCCAGCCTAATGATGATGAATCGATAGTCAAAATTTTATGAATCCACCACCTCTATAAGCCACTTTACATGTTTCTCTATACAAATATTTTGATGAAAATTAACATTGTGTGTAACTTGGCTCCTCAATGCTTGTTGATGTAATCTCGGACTTTGGATCTGTTACAATTGAGGGGTCCCATTTTTCCCACTCCATAACCTCCCTTCCATTTCTGAGAGCTTCGTCAACGGTATCAGGTTCCAACCCATTAACCAGTGAAACAAAGAGAATTCGGTGAGTGAGAGAATGGAACAATCTCTTAAACTTGACAGCAATGTAATGAAAAGCATATTGAGCTACAGGGTTATTGCCATTTCTACAATCTTTCTTCATATTTGGACTGGTAAATGGCTGGAAATCACTAAACCATTCACACTGTGCAAGAGGAATGTGATCAATCTTTTCCTCAAGTAGATCAAATTTGGTCAGTACTAGGAGAAACTTTTTGTTATGGAAAGTTGGATGAGTAATAATGTTTTCAAAGAGAGCCTTAGCTACCAACATTTTGTTGGTAGAAACCCCTTTACTGTCTGTAATGTACTCATCATAGTCAGATAAAGCAACTGAGAACATTACAACATCGGTATCTTCAAACATCTCCAACCACTTGCAGTTTGCTCCAAGGCTTTTAGGATGTACTCTGGTCAGTTGGTATCTATAAATGGAACATAAAATGGGGGTAAGAAATCTGTTGACAACTTCAAGCAAGTACACACCCAGCATAGCTAAAGATGTTTGTATCATATAAGTTACAAAACCCCCACACTGGTTATAAGATTATAATTGTCAGTAACTTGAGTTCCTGACTTAATAAATAATTTATGCATAACTATATGAAAGAGTATTATTTTCTAAAGATGTATAGTAATTGAATAAAATGATGACTATTGCAAATATGAGCATGCGAGAGTAATCTATCACAAAACATGCATGCACACTACTACGCTTGCGAAAATCATTAGTGGATGCAAACTCAAATCAGAAGTAAAAGTTCTTGGGTCATGAACTGCTCGAACCTGAGAGAAGAGTCATGTTTAAATTCAGGATTCAAAGAGTCCTCACTGCTTGATTCAAGAAAGGAAAATTCCATTGAAGTGACGCTATTGGATAACGACATGCCCTCAGCATACAAGATGTCCATATCAGATGGCTCATAGTCTGTCTTGGAAATTTCAACAGCCTGCATGTGAGAGATGATGAGACTTTGATGAAAACCTACTGTTGATGTGATGCACCTACCAATTTGATTACCAAATACCTCGACCTAGTGTTCATCAGATCATTATAAATTAAAATATGTTGGTGGTATTCTAGAGGTATTATAATGACTTAGAAATAACTTTTAGAATGTTACAACTTATACAAATATAAATAATCATATCATTACAATTCAATACTCTTAAAAAAAATCTTCATTATGCATTCAAACTTTAGTTTAATTGACTCATGTTTTACTTTGTACTTTGACATTATGCACCAATTCTAATACTTCTTTGGTTCTCCTCCTTCTTATTTTGGAAATAGTTGACGATGATATTTGTTAAGCCTACCCTCTTCACATACTCCATTCTTCTTCTCAATTTTTGGAGTAAAAAAAGCCTCTTTTTTTTTTTTTGGAGACAGAAGGTGACTGTAATTTTAAGTGTCCAAGTCTCATAGTGAAAGTGGAAAACTTCTGTTATTTATCATTTTCACCACAGCAACCATTTTTCGTTTCGAATAAAAAATTCTACACCCTCAAATTCTCAACTTCTGTTAAACAAATTTTTATTTAATTTTTGGACATAAAGAGGATCACGAATTACCTTTCCTCCTTGCTTTGTTGTAACTTTACTACTGCCTTTTCCTTTCTACTTCCACATATTCTCCATTGTCTAGTTTAACTTTTGAGGCAAATGAAAAATCCATGTTGACAAAAGCCTCTCTGTCTCTACTCATATGATTGTTGCAACTGCTGTCAAAATACCATACGCTCTCTCGCTCTTAAGATGTCTTTTAACAAGCAAAAAAACAAATTTCCTTCGGCACTTGTGCTATTAACTGATGGATTGTTGTTTTCTGCCATTGTTCTTCACTCTTTCTCTCTCTCCCTCATTTTTCTTACAAGGATCTGCATCTCTTGATACCACTTTGTTAGTGGTATTCTAGACGTGATGTAGATATAACTCATAAAAAACTTACTTTGGAGGAGATTGTGCGGAAATATTTTTGAAAAGAGAGAAGATAATTTGAGGATTGAATTGCTCTCTGTTTTATTATTTCTCTTTTTTCTTTCTTTCTTACATTATGTATTACATTTAGAGATATTATAAGGACTCTGAAATAATCTTTAGAATACTATAACAATTACAAATATAAATAATCATATCAATACAATTCAATACTCTTAAAAATGTCTTCCTTATATATTCAATCTCTTTAAGCACTTCATAACATCACATTACTAAGCATAATCGACTTAAGAGATTTAGATAGTCATGATGAACCTTATTGAAAGACATGGGATCCAAAAAGGGATTGAAAGAGAAAATGAAAAGAATAAGACTATGAGAGTACTAATATAAGGATAAAGCTTCATTCAAATTCTAAGTTTATATTTTTGTCTAGTTTCATCATCTGATTATGTGTCAACTATTCAATGATCCAAACTCCATGCTGAAACAGGTGGGAATAGAGCATACGGCATCAGAGTAAAAATTGAATAAACTAAATAATCATATAGCCTTATTAATATTAGAAAATGTGAGTGAATGATCTTCAATATTCATGTGAGGATGAGCACGTGGACAACCAAGTATTAACTTACACGGTCCAGAAAATAGTTTGCACTTCTAGGTAGCATTTTTAGTTCATTTCGTCTGTCATATGTTGCTTGAATGGCTTTATCCTTCCACACACCTTCCACAAGTGGTCCATATTCACGTGTAGCAGCAGGAAATATTGCGTCCAGGTTACCCGACACCATGTATTTGAGTAGCCAATCCGAGAAAGCTTTCAGTCGTGGGCCAATGGAATAGGGTGTTGTTCCAACATCATCACTGCTGATACTCCCTGCTGCAAACTAAAATTAATTACTTCTCTCCGCAAAATTGTTAACGGAAGGTTTTATGGAAGACAACTTCCTTAACAGTCTGCACTATCCAGAAAATTTGGATAAGGGAAAATGTTCCAAAAATTGTTGCCCCCTACTTCATCCAAAGTCCAATAAAAATAGCCTTCTGGTTAACATTTAATAGAAGGGAGAAACAATTACCTGATGAAGTGGATTCAGCCCCAGGTCTTCTTTTCCTCTTCTCCAACAAACTCTCTGCTTCAAAATTTGCACGCCCCTCCAGCAGTATACCAAGGTAGGTAAACAGGTTGCTCTGGATCACCAACTTTATATTTTGGACCTCATTTTCAGAGAAAGGCTCGTTATACAGCAGCTTGGCCTAAGATAAAAGATTCAGTCTTCAGTCTCACTCAAAATGAAGGTTTCAATTAAATGCATGAAAAATTATTCAGAACAGCAGTTACGCATACCAGAAGAGGAAAGTAAACTCCAAACTTTGACAAATTACAAATTACATTAACAAGAAATTTTTAGATCAAGCACTCAATTTATCTGAACCTCATGACAACTAGTAAAGTGACTGATAAGAATCCACAAGTGGAGCTAACATTGATATCATACACATATATGCCCTCATAAATTGAGAATTTCTGCTTTCTAAAAGATATTATAAAGCCGGTGTTAGTGCACTTCACTGGAAACTAAAGTAAAAACTAATAACACTTAGGGTCTGTCAAGTCCATATTTAGTTCGCCTATATCCAAATCTATTGATATGACAAAACACAGGCCATATTTTGAGACTAAAAGGTAAATTCAAGAACTGAAAACGAATAGGAGTACCCCTCAGCATTACAATCACAGCATAGTCATTAAATTTACCCACGTAACTTGCCTGTTCATTAAGCCTGCATGCATATGAATACAACATACAGTGCATGAATGAAAGAAAAGATGAGTTCTCTCAAGGAGAAATCTACCTGTTTAAACATAGTACATGCACCAGAATTGACAGAACCTACAAGTAGAAATGTGTGAAGTATTTTCCGATGAAGACTGTCTTTGTCAGGTGTTTCACCTTCACAAGAAAGAGCTATAGACTTTGAAGGAAATGGCAAAGACAGAATTGCACAAGCCAACCTTGCCCTGCGCTGCAAAAGGGAAATCCAAAAGTACTGATGAGCTGTTATTTTATAAAAACCAAACACGGAAAGGAAACATGCATCACAACTATGATCACCTTTTCCCATATAAACCCCCTATCATTCCTCTGTCCCTCTTCCCTGTACGATCCATCCGCATTCACCCAAAAGTTTGGTGTTCCCTCACACGGCACTCCAGCCAACTGCAACAATCATTACAATGCAAAAGTTTGATTTAACATTCTCAAAAATATATCCGTAAGCAATAAATTATGATATTGTTCAAGACAACCTTTAGTATGCATAGCTCTTTTTTTGTAATCTGGCGATCATTAATAACCACATTCGTGTTTCCATTGCTTGCACGCTTGTCCAAGCGACCCCCAACATCCAGCTGGGGGCTGATAATCTCACTTGGCGGTTGACCCTCCTTTATAGTCAATCAATGCATCATATTAGAACTTCACTTGATAAAACACTCAATGGGGGTGAAAGACATAACCTTTCAGATAAGATAACAACAAGAGCTTATTGAACATGTGCTTAAGAAAGTTATCACCCATACACGACCTAAACAGATTAAATTAAAGTACGTAGTGTTAGAGATTAAGTTGTCACCTTTCCCCAAAACCCAGATGCTTTATCATACCAATAGAATCCTGGCTTAAGTTTTTTGGGGGGATTTCGACAGTTGAGGAGCAATAAAAGCTGCTCCCGATTTAGAGGGTGCGAGTTGACACAAACAAGCTCCGGTGGTATTTGATTTTTTTCACAAGACTTTTCATCAGCCATGACTTGAGCCACAATCAACTCAGAGAGCAACTGTTTCATCATCCGCGAAGATTTCCCCAGCTTCCTCCTCTTGCTTTCATCAATTCTGTATCCAATGCAGGTCACACATTTTCTTCCCTGTGGCATGGACCCCATGGCCCTCACCACACAACTGCGGCAATACTTTGCACTACAAACAATGCAAACCTCCTTCGGTGTGAATCGGTTCCCCTTGAGGCACTTATAGCAAGAACCCTTCTTCCCAGGTCTCACTGCACGTTCCATCACAGGAACACTCTCAACCTGAGAATCACCAAACTCATCACTATCACTCTCCATTGTGTAGTTTGACTCAGGATCACAGAAGGTCACAGCAGAAACACGCTTTACATGCTTTGGACTTGGTGTTTGATCTTCTTCTCCCAAAGAACAAATCCCATCAGAAGAGGCAAAAAGAGAGGTTGAACCTGAACCTGGACCTGATGCTGTGGTGTCAGATGTTCTGTTAAGAAGGGCGCCATCTCTATCATAGGGCACTTTCAAAGTGTCCGAGCTCTCGTGTATGTCATCACCACCAATAACAGACAGTACCGGTGGTGAATCAACTGCACCAGAATCCAAGTTTGAAGGGACAGAAGAATCTGTTGAACACAGGTTATTCTTCCTCCTATAAAGGTTTATACGAAGAGGTTGGATTACTGGGACCGAGAAGTCATCTTGAGAGAGAGGAGCAATCGTTGCGACTGGGATTTGGTCAATTTTGAAAGCAGGAATTTCAGGAATGGAGCAACTGAGAGGAGGGCCATTATACACCATAGCAATGGAGTACTCATAGCTACTGCTTAAGCTCTCTTCAGTTTCCACAGCAGCAGCAGGCACAGAAGAAAGCCTTAACTTTCTGAGAAGAGAAGCCATTTCATGGAGTCCAAATTGAGGCCAAACCCAAAGTAAATATATTACAGCACTCACCTACTCGTCTCAAAAGAAAACTTTTCTATGAAAATCCATGTGCAAAAATGGGAAATATCGGCACCCAGTGAAGGAAAAAGTCGGAACAAGGCCTCAGAAGATGGCAGCTATGTTGGGAAAGAGAGAATTGTGCTGTTGTGAGGAAGGGAAGACAAAGAAGATTAGAAGAAGGGAAAAAAAGGAGGAGTGAGAAGTAAACAAACTAAGGTTGACCGAAGTGGGAAGAGTGAGAGAAAATTAAGGTTTAAGTAGTGGACATGTTCCAAACGGTTTCGAGGAAAATGCATGCTGATGACTCAGAATGCTTCAAATTACCGTGTTATTCAAACTATCCCCAGTTGCCTTGGAGACTAACATGCTAGTACTACGGATCTTTCTTAGCTCATAATGGAACCGAGTAGTATAATTATTTAACTTTTTCATGTTACTAAAACCATGACATCACCTTGTTCACTACCAAACTTATTACAGAACGCACAAAGAAAACAAGTCTTGTTCACCGCGTTAATTTACACGCACGAGACAAAAAAACTATACATCTTCATCAAAAAGATAAGAAGACATTGAACACATGTATTAATATGATTGCTAATTAAGTTATTAGTCAAACTTTAAGTATCTCGACCAATAAAGTTTTATATTTACATCTTATATTCAGGTTTTCTGACTAGTTAATTATGAATGAATACAGTTTCTGAAATGTAAGCAGTGGGCAATGAGATGAAAGGACAGTGACGTGTTGGCTATTCCTCGTGGGTTGTTGGGAATGGTAATGTGGTGAGAATTCTTTATACAGAAACACAAGACAAAGTTGACTCGGAGTTTAGGGGGCATGATGCGCATTTTTTTTGGATTGAGTCACTGGTGGGAACACAATAAGTCCTTCAGGGCGTTAAAGAGCCACGTTTATTCAGTCTTGACCAAAACATGGTTCTTCTAATTACGGCCACTACAGCACCCGTTTAACATTTTTTTTTTTTTTTTTTTTTATAATCTTAAATAGAAAAAAGCATAATAAAATAAAATAATTTAAAATAAAATTGGTTAATGATTATTGTTCCGGAAAAAGTCTCTAACTCGCCTTTTTTAATAAGAGAGAATATTGGCACATTAGAAAAAAAAAACAGTTTCATTTGAATTTGCAAAATTTTGTTGGAGACTTGGAAGTTTTGTAAGTGAATGATTACACCTAAATGCGGTCAGCAACACATATGATTGTTAGTGCTTTAAATTTTAGTTTTATATAGACATGCCCGTAGACAACTTTTTTTCATAAATAATATTATTTTCCTAAATAGTAAATTTGTAATATTATTTACCCAACTAACAATTTTTATTGTTTATAGTATTTTCACTCAAGTGAGAAATCTATCGTTTGAACGAGGAGACCGAAACTAAAGAAGTATAGTGGGTTTAATTTCGTTCAAGTGATGGAATTCTCGCTCGAACGAGAAGTGATGTGGTAAACTTTCGCTCTAGTAAGAAATCCAGTAACTTGAACGAGATGACCTGCAACTAATAGGTATTCTCGTGTTCTATATCGTTTAAGTGATGAAATTCTCGTTTGAGCAAAAAATCTATTTATAATCGATTATAAGTTAAACTAATTGATTATAATTTTAAAATAATCGAATATTTTAAATTATGATCGATTATTTCGTTCTCGCTTAAACGAGAAATTCATCGTTTGAGTGAGGAGACCTAAAACTAATGGATAATATCGGGTTCTATTTTCGCTCAAACAATGAAATTCTCATTCGAAGTAAAAGTGATCGAAATATGCGGTGATCCAAGTTACATTATGCGACTAGCTGCATTGAACTTTTAGTTTTGGTCAACTCTCACTCAATCGGAAATCCATCACTTAAACGAGTAATTATATTTAGGTTTGGGTCATTATAATATACTCAAGTTGAGTTCAAATATTTGTTTTCAAGTTGAGTTCAAATATTTGTTTTCCTATTATAAGATATAAGTTTTGGTATATTACTCATTTTTGGGACCACAAACAAATTTTATAAAATTATAAATACCAAAATAAAAAGACTAGCAGCTGAGTCTTCTCTTATTTTATAAATTTTTATATTTATATTTAGTTATATTTGGTGTTTATTGTAACTTAAATTTAACTTAGATAAAAAGAAAGTGATGAAATATTTAAATTAGAGAAAAGAAAAAAATAGAAAAGAAAAGTGAAGTACTGGGATAAAATGTATCATTGATTGAAATAGTTTTCAAGTATGTTTTCTATTCAAGTTTGGATAAATTCAAATGCATCTATAATTATTTATTTAGATGGTCACTTGAGTATCAGTTTTTTTTTAATGAGACAGTATTGAAAGATTTTTCGATAAATAATTATATAAAAAAATATCATATTATTTTTAATTAAAATATTATATTTATAGATTTTTTTTACTCATATATTTATCAATATTCTTATTTTTTAAATGTAAAATTCGTACTCACTCCAAAGTAGCATGCATCAATTTGGACTATTTTGAATAATAATGAAAAGATGATTACAACTTATTAGCGAGTTTCACAAGAACTATTTTCTTTAATACTTTTCTCCATTTACTTATAAAATCACTAAATTATACATTAACATCAAAATGGTTAAATTGATGAAATAGTTTTTGTCCGGAGTTTGATGTCACTACATTATCCTTGTTTACATAAAGTTAGAAGTGAACAGAAAAACATAAAATCATGTAAAAATTAGTATATTCAACTAAACTATAATTCAATTACATAATATCAACACCTTAAAAATATTGAAAAGGATGAACAAACTTTGAATCTGCAGACTGTATTTACAGTCTGTTGTAATAATGAGTGAATCAGGAAAGAAAATAGCTTCAATACAGATAACAGATGGACTAGATCCTTTAACAGGTTATTGGGACTAAAGCATTCCAATAACTCATCCATGTGTTGAGCTTTACTCTAACTGCACAACATAATTCATCAGAGACTATCATACACAGGAGTTATGCCCCTTTTCCAGTAAATTATTTTCATGATCCAACTAATCCCTTTTTGCGAGCATAGACCACAATCATGACAAACATCAAAACAGAAAATACTCCAGAGACAATAACTACCTGCAAGTAATCATAATGAATTTTACTCTTTATTCACATTATCAAGTCCAAAATTTTGCATATATATAAACATAACAACACAAGTCTTTACTAACATATACCTCCTTGTTTTTTTAAGAAGGAATATGTTAGCAAGTTATATCTTTGATGTTTTTCAAGATAATCTTAATTTTAACTTCCTAATATATATGAATAAACAGTAATAATTTGCATACCCATTTGAACATGTAATCATGTTTTTCGTTCCAAGTATATGGCATATTCATGCCAAATATAGCAGCCACCAAAGAATAGAAAGCTAGACTAACAGTTCCAGAACTAAGAAAGAGCTCCAACTGCACAAAAGTTGAAGATCATTTAGCAAACTCGTGAGAAAAAAAAACATTACAGAATATAGATGATATTCAAGGTGCAGAAATATGAAAGACACCTGAATCAGCTGATTACGATGGTTGTCAAGCTGCAAAATAGAAAAACTCCAGAATTTCGTGTTATTAAACAGATACCAATACATATTTTCAGTAAATTGATAGCTACTTACTTGAATATTAATATAATCTTCAGTATCATCAATGTACTCTCGCAGCTTTAAATGAAAAGAAAAAGAAAAATAGTGAGGTCAAAGTAAAACGACCTACAGCACATTCAGACTTCATGTAAAACCTATATATCTTGGCAACACTGACCTTTGAAGAGACCAAACAAATATAAAAACAGTACACTACTTTTCAATCCCATTCTAGAAGAAACTGATCTAATGGGTCTAGAGTCATATCCCATCACAAATAAATTCAGGGATGTTGATAACATGAATTAGACATAGAATCAAATTATCATAATGTTTAGTTACAAAGCTAGAAGTGGTGCAACAAAGATCTGAATATGGGATTTGATTCAAAAAGAAAAGTAAGATTTACTACTCCCTATGGCACGTTTACAAATACATCATACTTACTGTGGTTAATTTGTTCAAGGTATGATCAATTTCACTAAAATAACCCTGCAAAATGAACAAACACCATTAATTGCAATTTTTCATCATTAAAAGAATATAAAAAAAAATTTTCAATTATTTTTTAAAGCAAGTAAAGTTTATAACCTCAAGTAATAGTTCAAGCTCTTCCACATCATTTTCATCAAAACGAACAGTAGCCAGACTTGCTCTACTTTCTCTAGATATCTTTGATCCTATGGTAGGGGATGCAGAAAACCAATTTGCAGCACCTGATCCACTGACTGGTGATGCTAAACCTGCTTTTCTTGACAGGTATAGGTCAGCCATATCATCATCATCATCCAACAATTGTTCAAGCTCGTCTCTGACCTGTAACTGATAACAAGAACTGGTGATGAGAGAGGAAAAAGAGATGTGTTGTTTTCTACTTAAAACTGATCAAGGCAGTTTAGAATCACATTAAACTAATTCTATTTGAGAAGAAAAATAAAATAATTTAAATAAAAGAAGTGCAAAGTACAAAAACTCAACAGCATTGAGAGAAAGTGGGCTGCAAAATATATTTACATAAAAGAAAAATTTTCACAGGACTAACGGAAAAACTTGACATACCTTTTGAACTCTACCAGTCAGCCTTGTCATTGCACTCTTCAATTTCCGAACCCTGTCCAAATTACGACTACTAATCTGCGGAATACAATAATCTAAAGTTCATGACTGAACCAAAAAAAGTCTAGAAATAAAAGGAAAAAAGGGAAGTAGAACATCCATATTTCAAGCCAGACAACAAAAAGCGACATTAAGAAAGCAAGCATAGTTAGAATGAACACCTCACTGATGATAAGTATAACAAATGAAAAGTATAATATAATGAGCTGAAATAACAAAATTTTTCCCTCAGTTACTTTCAACCAACTTCATTCATATTTTGTTAGTTTATTCTATACATAAAGAAAGGGTACTTCATATTTTATAAGCTAATACTGTACATAATGAAAGGGTATGGATCAGGGGATCCCAGATTAAAACCAAAACATTAAGAGAAAGAATTCCATAATATATGTACCTTGGAGGTAAGTTCATCTAATGCAGGATAAGCAGCCATCTCCAATTCTGTTGTTCGTGCAGCAAGAAAACTACAAATGGCTTCTAAAGCAACTTCCAGGGCCCGGAATTCAAAGGGTGACTCTACATTACATATTTAGATCACTCAGATAACAAGGGCAATAGATGATGCAAATAAACCACATTTTTATAAGAACAGATGCAATCATTAAGTTATTCATTACTTGTGGTTCATCACTAATATAACATACCATCTTCTTCAGCTGTTTCAGCATCATTTTTGCCACCAAGATACTCTTTACCATCTCCTTGCTGTTGAAGGCCGGCACTTGATCGAGGCAAACGCCTTTGCAGAACTTTGATTGTCTGAGATCTTCCATAGACACTGCCCAATCCCATACAATCTACCAAAAGAAAGACTTTATATGTTACCAACATAATATAATAAGTCCACATTTTAAAATAATATGTTGTACACAACATCTCTTACATTGTTTGAAATGAATGCACGTTCTATTTTTGACATTAGAATGTTCACTTTGGGCCAATCAAGAAAACGCAGAAAACAGATATTTCGTTGTGGATCAGTAGGCAAAGACAGGTGGTCAACTATCCAGATCTATGACACAATACAATGTCATAAGTCACAATAATTTCATATCACCTAATAAATCAATCATTTGTAAGAACCATAGCATCATTAGGTACGAAAGTTACCTTTAAGAAAGTGACACAACCAGCAACGTACAATTGAGAAACATTCTTTTGTTCGTTTAAGTTTTTACTAGCACGATGCAAACTATCAACTAATACACCGTGCACAACATTTCTCCAATTATAATCATCCAATGCCTCCAAATCATCTAATAAATTAAAAGGAACACTATGAACAGTACGGGATATACGAGGAAAATAAAAAATTGTCCACCCAAGTAAGATATAAAGCCTACAAAAGTCAACTACATATTTATCATTCTTAATTTTTTTTTCTTTTAGATTCCTAAATATGTTTGTTACTGTTATTCAACAAATAAATCTTTTACTAAACATGAACCACTATCTTCTAAAGCAACTACATCCCCTTATACGTAAACCTATCACAAAACAAACATCTAAATGGGTGAATGAGACAAGATATTGTTTTATTCTAAAACAATTATCACTAATTGATCATCAACTAACTAGTTCTCTTATAACATTACTAGATATTTACAATAGCTCTTTTATTTGAAGAAGTCATTTAAATGGGGTTTCTTCAATAGTTGCTCGTTGGCGTGTAGTCATACTTGAATTTATAGCAGCCTATATATTATATCTCAACATTGTGTCTTAATCTTATCTCGCACATATAAAATGTATAAAATATATAACATACATAACATATAACAAATTAAATATTTAGTAAATCACTTTTGATAAAATAACTATAATTAACATATACATACTTTGTTCTCGTTATGGCGGTCTCTTTTTGCAGACATTTTTTTTCAAAACTACTCCTGTTACAAATTAATAAAATTAAACTTACAATGACAAAATACTAAAAAAATATAAATACAAGCGTGTTACACGTATAATTTTGGTGAATTGTGTATTATACAAACATGGGCGTAAATCTTGGGTACAAACTTTCCTATTATAGACTAAGTCAGGCAATGCTCTACAATTAGTACAAGCATGTTACACATATAATATTTCCTCAACTAGCTACTATTAAAAGACATTCTGTCAAAACTAACATAGTCTAAACTGTAGTTATCAAGTGAAGAATCAATAGAAACAGCTAAGCTACTTAATTTAAAAGAAGGTTTGTTAACATGACAATGATAATTTGTGGCTTTTACCGATTTCATATTAGTTTCTATACATATTTGCTTGTAAAATACAAACTTCATACTTCTCTAATTTCAAGTATTCAAATTATTGGTTTTCATGCTGATTATGTTATTACTTCTTTTGTAAATGGGAATTTCATCAGGTGCCACAGCAGTTGCTGCCATAAAATTGGGGATGAGACCAGAAAATGTTGGAAAATTACAAATATCCCCAGTGGTTAAACATTAATGCCTCAACATACTATGAAAGTGTGATAAGAAAGATGTCCCAATAGAATAAGTCTCACTTTAATATAGCAGTATCACAAAGTCAGTTTGCATTAGTGCGCCTGTGATTGCAATGCAAGCGGATATCATTCTAACAGTTACATGGCACATGATAAATGTCAATTATAAACTTAAAAGTGGTTGATGTAAAATGAAAATCAAATAGAACAAATTAAAGATTCACGGAAAGCACAGGGAACTATTAAGTTGGTGCTGCTTATCTTGCAAGTTGTGGTAACTACTTGCTTTGTTTTATTTGCCTATGATAATTTTTAATTTTGTAAAAAAATAAAAATAAAATTAGCCACCCAATATATGAGACAAGTTTGTTATGCAATGTTGCACTTCAACAATAAAAAATGACAAATACTAGTTTCATTGCCACAAATACAATGCAGCAGCAGGAACTTTAGCTATATCGAATAATATTGATATTGCAGCATTTTTAGGATGGGGCAGTTAGTTACAAACATTATCCATTACTATATTAGCAATTACAAAAGAGAAATTTACCCAATATATGCAACCATGTTCCCTGTTCTTCCTTTCAAAAGTCAAATTCAAAGACCGTACATTGCATACCAAATATGCTTTTATAGACCCTTTTATCCAAGCAAAGTACAAAAACGAAAAGTACTAACACTTCTCAATAAAAATAATGATGAGAAGCCTCTATATCATTAAGATTCCTAGTTTTCTACACTAATTATTCTTTAACAAAGAACAGAAGCGAGCAATATATTGTCTCTCAACCATAGTCGTGTGAAACTGTCCTTGGGTCATTCCATGTTATCAAACACTCAAAATGCAAGGTTATCAACTAATCAAACCAAAACAAGATTCCAAAATTTAAGCAGAAACAGAACCAGAGGAACATGTTACGTGATATGTTATTACTTCTTTTTGTGTATGTCCTTTGGAACTTGCATTATTACATTCTTCTTAGTTACAGTTGCATGCGATCTCAATGATGGATTTAGGTCATATGGTGCTTATTTAAAGAGTAAATTGCAGGTTACATACACAGTACACTTCAGCCCACGTGCAGATTAGGCATAGGATTTTAAAAGGTGAAAATGATCCCCTAAACTTCATATTTTGTGTGAAAAAATTTGTCAACCAAGCATGAAATATCTACCAGGGGCTTGGTGCATATGCTCTAATACTAACTGCCAACGTGGAAGTAGGTGAATTCTTTGATGGTTTAAACAAGATACATAATAATAGGATGGAAATCCATAGTTGGTAGCAGGAAACAACTATGCTTTACTCTTTACAGTAGTAGTCTTTGAACTTATTAATACTAGGAAAACAAAGAGGCTTGGCTTTCTTTGAAAGACAGGAGAGGATATTATTTTTGATAGTGTTCCTACAAGTGTAATAAATACAAACCTTCAGTTTTTGTATACATTACCAAGTAATGTCTGTTATCATATTCGTGATTATAAATTGGTCCAATATATTCATCTTCTAAGCTCTAATATGTAGGAGACATATCTAACTACAATGTACTCATTTGGTAGCGGTGGTTTTATTCAAAATTTTAGGATGAGTGTCAACACAACTATGACAACTATTGTGCGACGTGTACTTGGTCCTGCAGAATTGAAACTAGGGGACCAAATGGAAAGATCATCAAATTAAAAGTGGATCTTCAAAAATGTCACTGGAATCTTGCTGGAAGACCAATGGTGAAAGGTAAACCACTTGAGCATTGGTGCATTCTTGATTTCACTAGTTTTGGGCCATTTTAGTACAAATTAAGAGGAAAGGATTTCATTCAAAAGCTTTTTGGCAAATATAAGAAATTGGGTATACACATGCAGGAGCCCTTTGGTATGAACAATCTTCGATGAAGATACTTGGAAGTTATGATTTGCTACCTGAATAACTTGAAAAAATTAACAACATTTGTAAAAATAACCAAGCACAACTAGAATTTCTTCTGCGTGTAATGGCTAAAAAAATATAATTTCTAAATAATATACAGTTACACAAACAAAGTACGAGACATTGTTTTATCACACTAAATTATCAGGATTTGAACCTGATTATAGTGATCTGAACTTGCTTTTACTCATAAGGAAACCCAATCGGGAAAAACTATTTAGTTTCCAGCCAATATACTTTTCAAAATGTTTATGATATCAAGATACTAGTAGTCCATTAAGAAAATATGATTTCAAAAGAATATACAGTTACACAAACAAAGTACGAGACATTGTTTTATCACACTAAATTATCAGGATTTGAACTTGGCTATGGTGATCTAAACTTACTTTTACGCATAAAGAAACTCAATTGGGAAAAACTTAATTATTCAGTTTCCAGCCAATATACTTTTCAAAATGTTTCTGATGTCAAGATACCAGGAGTCCATTAAAAAAATATGATTTCTAAAGAATATATAGTTACACAAGCAAAGTATGAGGCATTGTTTTATTACACTAAATTATCAGCATTTGAACCTGACTATGGTGATCTGAACTTGTTTTTACTCATAAAGAAACTCAATCGGGAAAAACTTAACTATTCAGTTTCTAGCCAATATACTTTTCAAAATGTTTCTGATGTCAAGATACCAATAGTCCATTAAGAAAATATGATTTCAAAATAATATACATTTACACAAATAAAGTACGAGGCATTGTTTTATCACACTAAATTATCAGCATTTGAACCTGACTATAGTGATCTGAACTTGCTTTTACTTATAAAGAAACTCAATCGGAAAAAGCTTAACTATTCAGTTTCCAGCCAATATACTTTTCAAAATGTTTCTCATGTCAAGATACTAGGAGTCCATTAAGAAAATATGATTTCTAAAGAATATACAGTTACACAAACAAAGAACGAGGTATTGGATTACGGTCAAATACAATTTCAACATATTAATCTCATGAAAGTTTTGGCTTATCTGCAACAAGCCAAGACAAAGCAAAGTTCCAAGAAAATGATATATTTTATGCATAGTGTTTGTAACTTTTGAAATATCATTTGGAAACGTGGACGAGAACCAGATTCCAAAACACAGCTCAAATATATAACTCAACAGAAAATTCCAATTAGACTCACTTAGGATTATATTATTGATTTCAAGGTTCCTAAAAAGAGTGAAGCATATGAGATAAGAAATATAGCCCTTCAATATTTTAGCATATTTCAATCACAAGCCTTTCAGAACATTTTTTTGCTTTATTGTACCATTTCATCAAACACCAATTGGACATTAATATACAATGAAAACAGTTGAGTACTTTTCGCAAAATAGTCCAAGACTCAAAGTTATTTGTCAAAAAAAGTCTAAGACTCACCGTAGGGGTCGCAGGGATCGCAAAACAGTCGAAGACTCACCGTAAAACAGTCACGACTCACGGAACTGGTGTTCACAACTCATGGAAGTGGTACTCTTGCCTCCTCACTCTTACCAAAACGAAACCGATATCATGGAGCAGAGACCCTAAACAAAATGGATGAGAAAGTTGGAGCAGAAACCCTAAACAATTGTAAAAAAAAAAAATTGAACACTCACTGTAGGGGTCGCCAGGGTTGCAAAACAGTCGAAGACTCACCGCAAAATAGTCACGACTCATTGATTAGCCATTATTTTTCCGCATTTTCTTAACTTTCTGTGCCTATCTCTCCATGGTGCCACCACTTAGGTTTTCCCTTTTCCATTCTTAAATAGACTCCATTTCATGTTTTCTTCTCATTTTTAGCTTGAAACAACTTGTATTCTGTATTTAGACGCTTAGAACAGTACCCATTTGGGGTTTTTCGATTTTTGTGCACATTGGATGTTTGAGTTTCGGTTTCATGTTCCTTCATATATATGATGAAGTATTTTCATTCATTTTTTGTATTTGTAGTTCATTTCCATAGCTAAACTTTGAGTATTGATTACTTGAGGAGAATGTGATGAAACCTTGAGATTTTTTGTGTTTAAAGCATTTCTGCCATGTCCTGTATTGCTCTCCATCTAATTAACTCTGTGCAGGGATGACAAATTTTTATGTATACTTAATCTCATATTTGTGTTCTTGCATTTAAACAGCCCCTGTTCATGCTTAATGGATGTGGGTTGATACATGATTGGTTAATCCGTGGCACCAAAGTTAAAGATGTATGTTTGCCTAATGCATATTGGACTCGTTTTAGTTTTCGTTTAGTGGTCTAATTTCGGGTTTTAAGATTGAACAGGACATTCATTTGATAACCTGTTATAGGTGAATTTACATTTGAATTAAGAAATTAATACGTATTTAATCTGCTTTTGTCATTGGTGTTGTTTCGTAAAATTTAATTTGTGTTTATCTGTTAATCTACAAACCAACTCCATTACTGTTTTATCTGATTGATGGTGGATCTTTGATTGAAACTAATAATCCTTAGGAGCCGACATAGGAGTCACTTCCTATTACTATTACTGCATTTTTCTGTATTTATTTGACCGGATACGGCTCCGAACTGGTGTTCACAACTCATGGAAGTGGCATTCTTGCCTCCTCACTCTTCCCAAAACGAAACCGATATCACCGAGCAGAAATCCTAAACAAAATGGACGAGAGAGTTGGGGCAGAAACCCTAAACAATTGTAAAAAAAAATTGAACACTCACCATAGGGGTCGCCAGGGTTGCAAATAAGTCGAAGACTCACCGCAAAATAGTCATGACTCATAGAACTCATGGAACTGATACTCTTGTCTCCTCACTTTTACCAAAGCGAAACCGATATCATGGAGCAGAAACCCTAAACAAAATGGACGAGAGACTTGGAACACAAACAAAAGTCGATCAGAGTAGGAGCACAAACAAAAGTTGACAAGAGAATGAGCAAAGAGAATTCATCCATCCATTTTAAAAATTTTGCTTTTTCCACTCTTTCAAATTACAAATCACACCCATGTTTTTCAGCAATTCACATTTTGATACCGGTCGTCAAAATATCATTTTCATGCCATTATTACACTATTTATCTCATTTGTTCTTGGAATATTCATATATTGCATCCAGTCTGGACAAGGGGTTTTGACATTGATACATAGTTGTGTGACTTTATTTTCAACCATCAAACTATCATTAAATCCTCTTTTACACATATAACAGTTTTGTGCTTTTTTATGGGTTAAAAATATTTGAATTTTATTAATATGATCAAATTTTTAAAAAATTATTAAAAGAGGTTAAATCACGATTTTAAATAAAGAAATCATATATTATAAAATGAATTTATAATAAAAAAATAAAATTATTTTTGTTAACGAATTCAACCTAAATTTTTATTTTTATTTTTTATATAACTAAAGTTGTATTATATATAGGATAATTTTGATATTATTTTTTAAATAGTTAAATTAACTTTATTAAATAAATAATTTAAAAACTAATAATTTATATATTATTATATATTTATATTATAAAATATTATATTAACTATTTATTTTATTTATATCAATTATTATTTCATATAAAATTTGTATAAATAATAAAAATAAAATATATTAGTAAATATATTTTTAAATTTAAATTATGTTATATTATTTATTTCAACATTAATAATATATATTTTTAAAATAAATTAAGTTTTTGAGATAAATATAATATATAAAAATTTATAACTTATTTATTTTTTTATATAAATATATATATACACAATAATATTATTATGATAAAATTAAATAATATATATTTTTAAATAATCTATTTATTGAAAATATTATATTAATTATTTATTTTATATCAATTTTTTAAATAATATATTTAAATAATATTTATTATTAATTTTGAAATAAATAATATATTAAAAATAAATTTATTAATATATTTATTTTGTATTTGAAATATTGTTTTCTATTCTATTATTTATAAAATTTATATAAAATAATAATTGATATGAATAGAATAAATAATTAATATAATATTTTATAATATAAATTTATTATAATAAAAAATTATTAGTTTTAAAAAAAATATAGTACGACTTTGCAATATTTATTATAATATTTTGCAATATAATTATTTGAAGAAACAAAACTAAAGTCCTACTTACTATGACTTTAATTAGGTATAATAAATATAGTACGACTTTAGTTTTATTAAGAAAATAAAATTACATAGAATTTGTTACAGAAAATATAATTTTAATTATTTTATCACAAAATCATTTTAAATTACACTATTCTTTTATTTAAAATCATGTAATTAACACAATTTAACCCCGCTAAATTTTTTTATTTATTTCACCCATATCAATCAAATCCAAATATTTTTAACCCAATAAAAAGCCCAGTTGTGAGAACACAAGAATATAATAGTGTAACCAAAGGTTTTAAACCACCAAATATTCATCCAGTTTGGCTATCGTGTGTGCGTACTAAAATACATTTATTAATTACTTTTATATTTTTATAATTTATTTATTCAATTTTTCTTTCTTAATTATTTTTTATTTTATGATTTAATTACTTAATTTATTTCTCTTATTATTTCTCTTTATAATCTATTTATTCCAAATAAAATTATAGAAAATTTAAATAAAACAAGATAATATTTATAATTTAAAATTTTTTAAATGAATTTTACAAATAATATATTTAAAAAAATACTCAAATAAAATATCTATCGATTTATGTACATGATTATTGTTTATATATAGCTTTTTTTTCTTTCTTTTCACAAAATTCTTTATTTTATTTTTATTTTTTTCATTCACTCCTTTCTTTTTGTATATTTTTTTTATATTGCATCTCTTATTTCTCTCTCCTCTCTCCCTTGTTCTTCTCATTAAATTACTATATTAAAATTTAATAAAAACATGTTTAAATAAATATTTTAAAATCAATCATGAAACTAAAAAAATATTAGTTAATTATTTAAAATTACAATCATAATAAATAATTAATTTAAAATTATTTTTCTTAATAATTATAAGATAATAATAATAATATTGGTAATATTTTAAATTTATATAATATATTAAATTATACTATTTCTAGATCATTTAAATATTTTATTTTTTAGTAATAATAAAATACTCACTCTATTAAATTTTAATATTAATTGAAGAATAAGATGGGACAAGAGAAGAATAAAAGAAGAGGAAAGAAAAAAAAACAAACACTAAATTATGATATAGAGAATAAATAAATAAATTAAATAATTATATTATATGAAATAAATTTGTTTCTTTTATAAAAAGATTTAGCTCGATAAATAAATTTAGAAAAATTCTATTTAAATAATTTTTATTTTTAAATATATTATTTATGAAATTATTCTAAAATTTGGATGAAAATACAAGATTTAAATTTTAACAATTATGAGTTGTGTATTTTTTTTATATAATATTTGATGAAACATTATCATGTTTTTTTAATGTAGACAAGTTGTCGGAAGGAGACTGATGGGTCACTGTCTTTCCTTAAAAAAAATGTTATTAAAAAAATATTATAATCATTTTAAAAATTATTTATTTAGAGTGGTTTCATAAATTTATATTTGCGATTTCGTATCTGTTTTTAATAGATGAGTTAAATATCTTATTCAGATATTAAAACAATTTTCATGAAGCAATACAGACAAGATACGACGACAAAGAATTCCCAAAATCGAAAAATGCTCGTAACTCCAACTAACTACATCTCCATTGATTGAGATTTTATGTTTTTGTGAATGTTGTTCCTTCAAATATTGTAATATGAAAGTCACATTATCTTCTTTCTGTTCCTTGACTCATTTTAAACTCTTATTTGAATTTTTTTTAAGTTTGTAAATATCCCAAATAGAATATTGTCCAAGAGTAAGATCAGGTTCTTCTTACAATTAATTTAATTAATTCATTCCATTATGTGACTCATGTGAAATATAATAATAGGTTTAAATGTTATTTAATAAAATATAAAGACCTATTAATTATTATGTGAAATTAGAATAAAATAAAGATAAAATAAAAAATATTAACTTACGGTAATCAACTTGATGGACGTTGGTTGATAAAATGGAATAAGGATTATGTCTCGGTTATAAGTTTTTTTTTCACTGTAAATCATCAAGAAAACGTGAGAAAAGAAAGAAAGACAAAGAGATAGATTGGGAAAAGGAGATTGGAAAACGAAAAGATTAAATAAAAGACTCTCATGGATCAAGGTTAGTCTTCTTACTATGATTCATGTACTTGTTGTATGTTATATTGTGAAAATCAATAATCTAAAGATCCTATAGAGTAGTTTTCCATAATGAATTAAGAACGTAGGAAAACTACATAATATTTTACATGTGGTATCAGAGCACTGGTTATTAGATTTATGATTTTCCTTGTATGAAAGTTTTCCCAAATATTAAGTTTTTCCCAAATTAAGATAAACCCTAATTATGAATTTAGGGATTTCTCTATCAGATTAGTATGAATCCTAATTTATTCCCAAATTTATTTTTCTCAAAATTAAATAAAGGAATAAACCCTAATTATGTTTTTAAGTTCAAATTGAACCCAATTTTATAGTCCCTATGCGTGAATGAACCCGTAATTGATTTTAATTGAAAAGACAAATGACGTGATAGGGTTAGAGTGAATCATGTATGAAATTAGTTTTATTGTATGTTATAATTATGATGAGATGTTATGATGAAATGTTATAATTATAATGGAAGAATGATAAACTGTAAAGTTAATAAACTTTACGCGTAAAGACCACGTGTTAAACACACAGGTTTCATATATTATATTATATTATTTATAATATTATTTTTATATTATTTATAATATTATTTTGTAGTTACATATTAGTAACAGTGACTATTGAAGCCATTTTTCCCCTATATTATTTTGTCATCATATTATTTGTACATTATTTTGTACGTACATATTTTTTATGTGGGTGAAAGATAATTAAAGAGTTACTTTTATGTTAAGGTGAGTTGTATAATATACTCATACTCGTAAAGCTTTGTGAAGGGTACTGTAAAACTTTGTCAAGGGTACTGTAACCCTTTGTTAATGTACTGTGAAACTTTGTTAATGTACCTATAATGTAAACATTGATAAATGAATGAATTTTGTTTTGCAAACTGAATTATAGTGTTTCCTCTGTGTTTAAATTACTCATAAAAGTTTTGAATGGATGACAATTTCACTTTTACGTGAAATACAAATAAAGGTCTTAGATTGAAAATCAATCTTAGGATGAAAATTGAAATTATGAGTTTCAATTTTATTTATGGCACATAATATTTTATTATGTGAATAATGTACATTTATTAAAATTAATAAAAAAAATGCTATGAATGGTTAATAGGAATTAAAGATGTGTTATTTATTTGAAATTAAGCATGATAAATTTTGTTAGTCACCAAAGTGGCCAAAATTTTAAGGTTATTTTGATTTCAAATTATTAATGATTTTATTTCAATTACCCATAGTATGAATGTTAAAATTATGAATAATGATTTATGGGTTAATTGAAGTTCATTATTATAAGGCATTTCAAGATCACCCAAAGGTTGATTAGTTGTTATTATAATTAATGAACATGAATGTAGATAATTTTGTGTGCGTCACTAGTTTTATTTATATACCCAAAGGTGTTAGGTGATTCTAGTTGATGCATATTTTAATTATCATTAAAGTTATAAAAAGATTAGCGTAAGTATGTTTGTGTATTAGTGGATCTCCCAAAGGAGAACATTAGT